GTGCCCTTGGTCGTGGTCGCCTTGAGTTCGGCGCTGAAGTCGTAGCCGCCGCCCTTGGAGACGTTGAAGTGCTCCTTGGCGTGGATCGCGCCGCTGAGGTAGTTGATGGCGATCTGCTGGCCGCCGTGCGTCGCCGGCTTCTGGCCGCTGACCTTGTTCGCCGTGAGGGTGAGCGTGCCGCCGCTGAACTTGACGTTGTCCTTGGTCATGCGCGCGCCGCCATTGTGGTCGCTGCCCCAGGGGTAGAGATAGTTCCAGTCGGCATCGAAGTTGGACTGCGAGTCGAAGCTCGTCTTGGGGATGATGGTCCGCACAGCCCCGACGGGGAGCACGTCGGCCACGAGCAGCGCGCTGCTGAGGACGAGGGCTGCTTGGTTGAACCAGACCATCTTGGCAAATGAACGATGAGGATGGAGGGTTGAGGTTGGAAGAAGCATACAACAGACCAGACGAACACCCGGGACATTGCGCACTTCAAATACCCAAATAGCTCTCCGCGCTCCTGTCTGGGCGTCGAGTTGATGGCAGTCGGCTGATGACTAGAGCTAGCTCGGCCTCACGACCCAGTCTGATGCCCCGCAAGACCCTCGAGATAGATGAACTGACCTCCACACCAGCAGGATTTCCACCAACGACAATTGGCTTGAAACATCAATTCTGGAAAGAGGCGAAACACTCCGACGCAGGGGCCCCCATGGCGATCCAGGGCGCTAAACTTAGAATGCCCTTCGTGTAAACGCCGTTGCTCCCGTATTGACGACATCGTCACACGCTGTCATCCTTAAAGGGGGCCGCAATGCCAAATGCGCCAGCGGCAAGCGAGGGCGCTCGAAGCAACCTCATCCCGGAATGGGAAGCGGTGGTCGTCCGAACTTAATGGAAGGTCAGGCCGACGGGATGGTGCCACGCTCTCGCAACCCTGTCGCTGCGACATCGTATTCGAAGGGGTTGTCGGCACTTGCCCATTTGGCGGTAAACCTTGATCGGATTTCGCACCAGTCGCTGCGATGCCAGTGGCTCCTTTTCGTCTGGCCAGACTCTCGTGATGCTCGGTTTGCTGAGGCATAAGTTGGGATCGACATGACAGCTCGGGTGATCGGCGCAACAGACGTCCGGGCATTGGCGCGTGCTCCCGAGGTGTAAGGCGTGAATAAATCCGGCTGGTCGGCATGATATTGAATGCTATCATAGTGCAATATTCTTGCAATTAAGATATGCTTTTGGATCTCGTGGCTGATATTGATGACATCGAGGAGAAGGTCGTTTCAAGAAGATTGAACGGGGGTCGACTTGAGACAGACCCGCTATTTTGCGACGGCCTCGGTGAGCCAACTCACCGAGAATTGTGCCTCACCCAACACTGAGGCAGCTGACGATGGCTTGGGTAGAAGTCGTGCCTAGCTAGGCATAGTTGGGTTTACAAAATCTCATTCTACAATTCTCAAGCCATGAAAGTTGAAATCTTCCACTCGGCCGAGTCGTCCACATCAACATCTTCAGGCAAGTCCAAGGTATGCTCGAGAAAATGTCGAGCCACACCGAACGCCCGACCCCTACAAGTGACCAACAACTTGAAAGAAACCTGGTCGTGTGCCTTTTTTCTCGCCAGCCCGACCAGCTCACCCAGAAGGAAGTCCGTCTCCGCTTGAAGCATCTCTGTCTCATATACAGATATCTCATCGACAATGCATAAAACCATTCCCCCAGCGGGCAGCTGTTTCGCGAGCCTCTTGAATACCTTCGCAAGAGTGACTAGGTCGAACCTCTCTATCTTCTCCATTTTCTTCTTGTTGAGGAACGAAAGGTCTGTGTCCAATCCCTTCTCGGCCATGAGATTGATAAGTTGACAGATAAGGCTCGCGATCATTCCCACCGCCGAATTTTGCCAGGCTGCAAGCAGAGGAGACGGGCGATGCTCATCACAAAAGAAGTTAAGCACGAACACCGCCGATTTCTCTGCTCCCGCATCCTCCGATAATCGCGACAATTCAGCGGCCACGAGGCTGAGAGGTGGAATTACGTCTGCCGATGCTGTGTCTTCGTGGCTGTTCACCAGCAAGCTTCCGGAGGAGTGCGAATTTCGCAATAGTGACCTTAACATGTCATCGCCCATCATAAGAGATGCTCTTGTTTTTCCTTTCCAGCTCAATTGATAGCCGAGCTGTAAACATGTCGAAATGTCTCGAGATACCATCTCTCGGTCGAACTCAAGCTTCCGCAACAGATCTTCCTTCAAAGCTTTGGCTTCCTCCTGTCTCTGTTTCATTATAGCAAGTCGTTGATTCTCGGTCTCTTCAGTATCAGAGACTGTGTGGTCTACATTTGCTAGGTCATATGGGCCAACATTCGGCTCAAGAAATGCATTGCCTATCGCAAATGATCAGATTTGCGTCAAACGGAAGACAGCCGTGAAAGAAGGAAAGATTCCTCGCAATAGAATAGCAACTTTGATTCCAGAACTTACGTGAATCTGCACGTCGCATCTGCAGGATGGAATGGGTTTCCATAAGGCTCAGCAACCTGTTAAGCACCTCTTCGGTTCGCCCGCTGCTCAGAAATACTTCGTGTGACTCTTCGGATTGGCATGTTTGTCCCTCAGCCTTGATCCGCTCGGTACATTGTCTTATTTCCTCAACACTGCTCGTGAGTTCCGTTTTGTACGACCCCTGTTTCCCGACGACCTCCAAAGTCTTTCCTGTTGTGCCAATTGTCAGCGGTTCAGGCATGGATTTGTGCGCCTAAGAAGTATTCAAACACTCACGAAGTTTGCTGTCTGAGAAGAACTTCATGACGTGATGAAGGAATCGTAGATATGCGCGGTACAGATTGAAGACTAGCGGCTCAAAGCGGTTGTTGCGCCTCGTCCAGTAGATCTCGACATATCGTCGTGTCGTTTCCATAATTTCGGGTATGTCTGAGAAAGCCTGGAAAATATCCTCTTCTACTTTGCTGTATTGACCAACAGCCTATGAGATGGTTTGTCAGTACATTTGGCTTTCTAGCCAAGGGCCCGCTCCGAGTAACTTACCCCTATTGCCAGTTTGAAGACCCCACAGATACTTCGGGGCTTGGTTAATATCCTTGTGATTACTGAATGTGCCGCTCATTGCATACCTTGATCCATAATCTCCCATAGGTAGCAGCCCAATCCACGCCTCGAGAGCGTTCGAATGAGTACCAACTTTATCAATAAAGGCCATAGTCTTTGTCTGTTTTCCTGGCCGGGTTTTCCAACTGCTTGCTATGCTTTGAGCTTCTGCGAGGACATCACCCCAGCTGCATTTTCGAAGCTCAAAGCCTTGTTTGAATTGCTTATCTCCGCTCTTACCCTTCGACAATTTTTTCTGAACGTCTGCCATCAGACGAAAAAGCTGCTCCTTTTCTGCGTCAACCTGAGCCCATAACGCAGCTCTAGATCAGATCAGCATTTGTAAATACACATTATCTTGAATAATGGGTAGCAGCACCTCGCCTTATCTTCTTCTGATGCCACTTGGAGAGACACGAAACGTCCACTCCAGGTACTATGTACCGGCTTGGGTTCGCCAGGAATGATGATTCTGTTCTCCATAAAGTTGACAGCTTCATCAGCAGGATGACCGCCTCGCGAGGCTAAATCGAAGGTACTTGCCAAAAATGCCATTCTGACCTACGAGAAGTTGTCCAGATTCTAGACTAAACAATTGAAAGTTTCGCCAGAAAAGAAAATCGGGAACCCCGCTCTCAATCGGCACAGCAGAAATAGACACAGGCTGCTTACTCTCCCGTTCTTTTTTGCTGTCAGACAAAACAAAGCACTTGATCGAATTGGGGCGGGCGTGAAGCACGCCAAGATCATGACTGCATCAATATATGCAACTAGGAGGTGATCTTGTGAAATGACTGGCTTGTTTTGTCCAATCGCAGCTGACGTCAAGCAGGCTGGCAGCAGGCTGTGAGTGAAAAGGTGCTGAATGACACCATGATAGTATGCAGTGTGTCGGAGGTGAAGACCAAAATGGCCAAGCCTGCCGAGGCTAACATCTCGAGTCTAATTTTAGGGGGGCAACTTCAGCCACTCACCCAGGCGACAGCCAGCAATCTTTTTATTGCTCTAGACACCTGCTTGACAGCACATTCATCTCTGGCTGTTTCCCGCCGACCCGCCCAACTTTGGAACAAATCCCCCTCTCATCGCCACCCTGGCAAATCGAATACCTCTACTATCTGATTTGGTATTTCCTGGTCAACATCACCAATCTGGTATCAACATGCCACCAGAAACATCGGACGTGGGGAACCACGATTCTTCTCTAACGACCTTGTCACCAGCAGATCAGAATGCGAGTCATGAATTTCCAGCGAGAGAACCAGTCCCGGATTCGGGGACGTGGAGGAATGACACACCGGAAACCGAGGCAAAGGCGAAAGTGTTTCTTCACACAAGAACCATCGATAACCCTGTGTCCTCAGAAAAGCCCTCTTTGGTTGAAGAAACAGGTGCAGGGTCGCGTGACGATAGCGAAGAAAGCGAAAGCGACATAGACGACTTGGTCAAGAAAACCACCTATAGAGGATCCATGGCGAAGACAATATTTCAAAGGGAAAAGGAGACGGGAAAACTTCGACTGAGAGCTCGACAGGCTGCTCTGGATCACAATCTTACATTCATGCGCATCGAAGAGCTTGAGCGAGAAATGGCAGAACTGAGAAAAGTTATCCTCGGAGAGGGGGATAACTGGGAGCCACCTACCAAACCGAAGTTCCCTATCCACCAACACGTGATTCATAGAGTCACGATGGATCAGTTTCGGCCAAACCATTCCATTGTAACCTCACCGTCAATGCAAAAGCCTGCGTTGGAGGTTCTGGTACTGGAGTTACACCAAGTAGATCACGAACTCCATTCGCCCCCGAAAGTCATGCGCCGTTGCCCGGAGCGGTTACGCATCAGGTCGCGGGGATTGCTGGCTCACCTAGACCGAGTTTGTCGGGGAAATGTGTCGTTTTTAGGCATGACCATGGAAGTAGACGGAAAGAAGTCCTTCAGCTCCAGGGTATTCTTGCGACCTTTCAAGTACTTCATCAGAAACTTCGCGGCAATCACGAAGAGCATTGAAGAACTCGAGAGCAAAGGACACACAGAGGCATCAAATGATGCGGGTGAACAGGCGACATCTTTCACTCAACAGTCTGACAAGAAGCAACGAGAGATCGACGACAAAGTCCTTTTGGAGGACGCGAGACTACTCAAAGCCTTCATGAATGAAGATCTTGAGTGTGTATTCGACCTTCGCAGCAAGATCGAAGCTGGCACAGACACGGAAATTGAGTATTCCGACTTATGGCATCTTTTTAAAAGGGGTGACCTTGTCATCACCAAATCAGAGCCAAGGCACGCCTTCCGGGTTATCAATATTGTCGGCGGGCGTGAGCCACTGGTCTACCGCATACCATCATTGGACGACGAAGCCATAACTGCTGTAGATGGATTCGTCCTCGACTGCATAAGCTTCCGCTCCAACGGATCCGGCTACGTGCCGCAGCTTCATAAACTCTCGATCAAAAAGTATTACGGAAGTCAGCCTATCACATCCCTCGTTGTGTATCCCATGCGATTCTACCCAAAAAAGGACGATCTACGCACTCGATTCCTCGAAAATGGAAGAAAGTATGTTGAGGTCACAAAAGCCGACTTTTGCCACAAGATTGTGCGCGGTAAGACGCTTGATGAACCTTCCCATGACCTCGATGGTCAGGTGATTGTGGATATGACCCTTGCGCTACACGAAAACCCGGACTGGAGAACCGATCCATACATTCCGATGGAAGATCTTAGTCAACCGGACAAAAGAGAGACATACGAAGAGTCCTGGTGTGGGCACCGAGCAGAAGGCTGCTGTGGTGGAGATTTCATCCACCAAGACTTGAATGATGACAATCAAAATACTCAGACATTCTTGAGAAAACGAGGCTTGGGTTACCAGGTAGAAGCAGATCTGTTGGAGGAGGATTATCTGCTGATGCAACATTATGTTTTTGCGTTCGTGCTACGGTCCAGGAGGTGGATGACAATCAAAGTGGCGGACCTGCACGATGTTGAATTCACAAGTTACTTCAAAGACCTGGTTCTTCCCGAAAATCACGGACCAACCGTTCGAGCATTAGTCGATACTCATGAGAGATTGAGAGCATCTCCAAGTTCACCAGAAGAGCCTCAAAGCATTGCGTCCACCCTTGACATAGTCAAAGGAAAAGGGGCCGGCCTCATCATTCTGCTCCATGGACCGCCAGGGGTGGGGAAGACATCGACGGCGGAATGTGTAGCTGATGACACTCAGCGGCCTCTGTTTCCCATCACCTGCGGCGATCTTGGCGAGACTGCTATTGATGTTGAGTACAACCTACAGCACAACTTCAGGCTTGCGTATAAATGGGGCTGCGTTTTGCTGCTGGACGAGGCAGACGTGTTTTTGGCGAAGCGAAGTAAGAGCGAACTTCGACACAATGCCGTCACAAGTGTTTTCCTCCGCAGCCTGGAGTATTACGCTGGAATTCTGTTTTTGACTACCAACCGAGTTGGCGCCATAGACCCAGCTTTCAAGTCTAGGATTCAGATGTCGTTGTTTTACCCGACACTGAGCCTCTCCGTCACCAAGGAGCTCTATAAGAAGTTCATAAATCGAGCCAAAGAAGAGCAGATCGAAACCAATACGTACCAATTCGAGATCAGGAAATCTGAAATCCTGAGGTTCGCCAAGACACATTTCAGAGACCTCGAGAGGAGGAAGAGGGATACTTGGAATGGGAGGTAAGCATCTTCCACAAGTAATGTCAGGTTTTTGAGACTTTCTGTGTCAGGGAAAGATCTTGTGTTTTATCTCTATAAAATCCATGCTAATGGCCGTAGGCAAATTCGCAACGCATTCCAAACTGCCATTGCCCTAGCAGAACACAAGAGTAAGAAAAGGCCGCCTGGAGATCCACTGCCCGTGCTCGGGGAAGAACAGTTCAGAGTTGTAGCGAGTGGATTCAAGGAGTTTGATGACTACCTTGTCACAACTCTAGGTGCTACGGAAGCTGAATGGGCCAAGAGAGATCATTGGAGGGCAGATGGATGGTACATGGGAATGCCTCCACAACCCTATGCTGCAAACACACAAGGTCCCTTCGCTTCTCCTTCGCATTTCATGCATCACAAGCAACCTCAGCAACCTCCCGGTCTCTCTGGCACCGCGCCAGATAGTAGCTCAGATGACTCAGACTCTGATCCTGATAGCGACAACGAAACGAGGCACAAACAGGCCGGAAAGGCCCCAGCGGTGCCTACAATCCTGGCAGAACAACCAGCCCCGGCTAACCCTGGCTTCAGCATGGAAGACTTTCAAGCTTTTTTGAAGTTTCGACAAGATGCGGCTCCCGAAAAGTAGCGGGGCTGTTCTGTTTGTTTTCGATGAATGTACCGGGAAAGAAACACAGGACAGAATAACACCTATGGTGAAACGTGGAGAGCATCTCATAGATCTCGAGCAGAACGGTCCAAACACGTGGAATGGCAGGTTAGGGGCTTAGTTGCAATCAGGAAGACACTTTGGAACTACCACAATTAACTGACAGGAGATCCATAGACAAAGACTGAATACCATTCAGACCGCAATTGGTTCTAGCAGAACACAAAGCCAAGAAAAGAAGTGATTGAGAATCGGTGCCTGTCTTAGGCGAAGAGTGATTCGAGATTATAACGGAGGGGTACGCGAACTTTGGTGAGCATCTAAATAATGCGATAGGCGCTTCCAAAGCTGAATGGGCTAGTAGGAATCGTTGGAAGGCCGACCCACACCCTACCATACCTGAGTACACACAGATGCCGCCTTCCTATGACTACCGAGCACCGTCCGGCCTATGTTCTTTCTCTGCTAGAAAGGCGCCTGCGTCTGGCCAAAGGAGCAGTACCGAAGAGTCAGAATCAGAGACGGACAGTGAGGATGACAAGAGTGACCAAAGACGTGGTAACACGAAGGATTGACGCGGCAAGGGAACGCGACTCAGGTCAAGTCTACCGCAATCACAAACCCCCTGGCCTTTTGGACGGAGAATGGGAGAAATACCAGAAGGTATGCGGGATGTACGAGTTGAAATGGTGCAGAGTCGGGGCAAAAAGGGGGTATGACTACCGAATAACAACATTCTCACGCAATTGAATTGTTCCGGTCTTGCCACAATGGATTCTTCTCGATTTACATACAGTGTGCTGAACGGAGTTCTTACGGTCAACGGAAAAAGGGGTTGAACGTGACCGACATCATCAGCTTCACAGGTGGTGGTTTTCCCAAAACGAAGATGATTCCCGTGGCTCGTGAGTTCAAAAACAACCACCATCGCCCAGAAAAGAGTTTCAAGGCAAGTTTTCGATAGAGAACAAACTTTTCATCGTTATCAAAAATGAAAAAAGAAGCAAAAAACAATCGCGCAGCTCCTGGAGTTATGTAGGGTCACCATTTTCAATTTCCAGCCGAACCCAGGCTTACACGTTCCACCACTAGACCATGTTCACTTGGAATGCTTGATTTGTTGAGAGGTCTGGGAATTACGATACCTATGAACCTTTTCTCGGTGACTGGGAGTGGCTCACTGCCTTTCAGTATTCGTTCAGCACCTCACCTTCGCGCCGACAATACAGCAGACGCGTAAACAACGCGTCCCGGTTTTTCATTTCCTCGCCCTTTCCCTTTGTAGGAAATCTTGCTTCTGCAGTTCACTCCAGCCGACTCTTTGCTCGTTGCTGTCGCCATCACCACCCTCCTAGCCATCGGCTTCTTTGCATCCCTCTGCGAATTCCAGCCACGATGTCTGCGCCCTTCAACCTGAAGGAGGATCTCGAGCCTGCCTTGCCCGCCGTCAGCCAAGATACCGGTCCGGTCAATGGCACTGCAAGCGATCACAATGACGATAACGCACCCGCCAACAAGCGCAAGCTTCGTAGCATGATGCGCAAGAACAAGTATGTCGCAGACCGTCTCGCCAACAGAAAGCAGAGGAACCGCGAGCGCAAGCGCGTGCTCAGAGGAAGTACGTTTTCGCAGCCCTTTCCCTCAATCTATTCCATTGCAAATATCTAACAATGACATAGCCAAGGCTGCCCTTCCCGGCAAAGCTTCCGAGTCCATCCGCGGTGACGCCAAGCTCGTCAAGGCCATGGCCAACCTCATGCACACCCTCCAGACCGGCTTCGAGAATGGCTTCTACTTCCCAATCGACGACATCGCCAACTGGATCGAGAATGAGGAGGCTGAGAACCTGTGCGCTATCCTTCACCTCCAGGGTACCCAGTCTCGCGACGCCGCCCGCCTCATGGGCTTCATGCTCTCGCTCGTCAAGGCCGTCAGGGAATGCCGCGGCAACTACAAGAAGGGCTCCGATGGCAACTCCGAGTTCTTCGAAGCCATCGCCCAGCATGTGCGTACCAAGGGCGTTGCCGGCGGGGGTCTCAACGCGAAGGACTTCTCCATGGAGGCCATTTCTACGAACACCTGCAAGGTGATGCTGGAGAGTTTCGTCAAGGCTCGCAAGGACTATTTTCTTGCTTTCCCGAAGAACTCGCAGGAGGGAACCTACACCGCGAAGACAAGAGACCTTCTCCGCATCCTTGATGCTTGGCTGGAGTTTTCGAAGGAGGACGAGGAGATGGAGGATGGCTTGATTGAGAATATGAACGAAGTTGGCATCTAAGCATTCCAAGGCAGTGGCATCAAGGAAATGGTAGTTGCACTAAAGGAGTATCAGGGTTGTAGACGATGAATGCAACGCGGCCAGTCCCTTTGTTAACGATAACGAAAGAAAATGTCACTGAAAAGCAAATTTATCCCATGTTGCGTGTTTGAAGTGTGAAATATTTCTCCGTTTGAAATTGTGGCGGTTGGCTGCGGATTTGACGGAGAAAGCTAGGGAAGGTGCGGCGATTTGACCCTGCTAGGCTGAGGTATTCGCACCCACCTCAAGGTCACTGTTTACTTCAACTCTCACATTTGCCATCTCATCGAGCGACCCACGCATCGGAGAAAGATTCATTTATTTCTACAAAACCATGGACTCTCCGACCTCCCATCATCCCATCACCCTCCCAACTTCGTCATTGCAACCACACCGAAAGAAATTTCAGGCACACACCATGGCGTCTCTCTTCAATCTGAAGGCCGATCTCGAGGCAGCTCTTCCGAATATTACACAACCGCAACCTGATGTCCCCACCCCAGAGAACAGGCAAACAAAGAAACCCGGGCATCGGAGGTCTCAAACAACCAGAACCAGGGAACGCAAGAAGCCCAAGACATACGGCGGAATTCAAAAGGCCCAGGCGAAGAAGCAAGACAAGCAGCATCGAAGATGTATGCATCCTCCCATGCTCGGCATACATGTTGCTGACCTGAACATCGCAGACAACCAACCGTCCACGAGAGTCATGTCCAAAAGCACCTTCATCGAGACCCTTGAGCTCGCCTTGCCGGACGGCTTCACTCACCCTGACGACAACACTATCGCAAACATCCTCACAGACACGGTAGCCAGCAACATCAGCAGCACGCTGCGTCTCCACGGACAGGCCCGCATCGATATCCCTCGCATCCACGCCTTCGCGCAAGCCCTCTTTGCCGCTATCGACTATCAGGCAGGAGTCTTCAACATCATCGACTATCATGGCGAAGACCTTCACAGCAAGTACTTTTCCGAGGTTGCGCAGACCATCCGCCGGGACGGGGTCACCGGCGGCGCCTTGGAAACCTTCTCGATGGCCCCTCTCTCGGATGACGCGTGTGACAAGCTGCATCAGTACTTCGTCGCTGCTCGGCAACTGTACCTGCAAACCCCTGGACCGGCGGATGGTGGGTTTTTGGGGTCTACCACCAAGACTAGATTTCTGATCAAGTTGGTGGACCGCTATATGTCGCTTACGGTATGTTTTGATTAGATGGCTATGATTGTGGCCGTGTTGTTGGAGTATGGCGATAGGTGTACTGGCGTGATTCATTGGTCATTTGGAACGAGATATGAGACATGAGACATGATGTTGTGAGCAGATCAGGGGGATGAGGCCATAATCAACGCGAGTCGTGTTCAAGGACGGATTTATTAGGTCTTCGGGTGCCAGAATCACATTTCTTGATAGAAGATTACGAAGAAGTTTCCGAGCAAGATCTGTCCAATGCAAGTGAATAGTGAGCATCACCTGAAGTCCAGACGCGTGGGATTGATCGTACATCCACGAATGCTGCGATCAGATACCTGCATCACATCGCAAGTTTCCATGAGCATTACAACGAGTTCGGGACTTGCTCACTTCCAGCAGCACTTGCCATTTACTTCAACCAGACAGCGCTTTGGGATAATATGTGAATATCCTGCAAAAGATAGCGATAGCAATAGCGACGACGACGACGGTTGGGGGAAACGCATGATCAAGGATGAAAAGCTTAGGAGAAGCTGCAAATAGTCGGCGCGACTATCATCTGCGAATAACTTCAATTCTGGCATCATAAAATGACGAATTGAGTGCGGCAGGTGCATGCGTGGGAATGAGGCCGCTCCCTTCCTCGAACGCTCCAGCCTTTATCGGCAAGGTAGATTCCCTTCCTCTCAACAATTGGAGCAGCTCAAGTGAACATGGTCTAGTGTGGGAGTTGGGTGAAAGCCTGGGTTCGGCTAGTGAAGAAATTCGGTGACCCTACATAACTCCAGAAGCTGCTCATTGTTTTTTTCATTTTTGCTCACCCATTTTTAGTATGACCAGCGATGTTTGGTCAAAATATTCTCACCTTCGACTTGTACATGTACAAGCCCCACTTTTAAAGTCAACTTTTCCGGGAAGGTCGCGAGGTCGAATCCAGATTGTTCGTTCGTTTTCGTTGGGTGGCAATCGAGTAGCAAAGCTCGCTTGAACAGACCAAGCTCGTCTTCTTCCTTCTACACAAATCTAATTGAGTTTGAAACTGAAAGTGGATGAAACAACCTGAACGCCCAAAAGTTCGTGAAACCCATTCTTCATCGCGTGATTCTCGATTCGTCAACATGGGGTCATGCCCTGCCCTGCGAGGGCATCGTGCCTAGAACTTTTCGCCTTGCCCAAAGATCTGAGACGCATTTCTTACCATATTTGTCTTCCCTCCGCTCAATCATCCTCGAGATTGGTGTCTGAATAGTAGTCAAAGCTGGCTGGCAGCGGCGCATCCTTGCTGTTGGGTCCATCGGGATCGACCTCATCAACGAGCTCCTTCTTGACCACCTTGGCAATCTCACTTGTTTCCACCGGCAAGACTCCATGTGCCGGCCATGATGAAGCCTTCTCTGATCGCAGCATCGTCGTCATCCACTGGGCCCATTCCCATGGCTTCTCCCTGCCGCCGGGCAAGCTGTTGAAGTACTCCCAGCCCATAAC